TCCATGTGTTTTATAGTGATCAATTGCATTAAAAACTTTCTTCATAGAACAATTTAAATGCTCAGCTATTCTTCTGTACGTCCACTTTTGATCTAAATGTAAATTAACAATTATTTGCCTAGTTGACGCGTCACAACTTTTATTTTTGCCCATTTTGAACAAAATTAAATTCAGATCAACATTTGAATTGCCGCCAAATTAATAGAAAACATCAAGAAAGAAATGTTATTCTTCAATTTCAAAAAAAGAACGAGCTATAGATGCTTTTTTCAAATGTTTCTAATTAGATGTCCAAGCGGCCAGGAACAGAAAATATACTCGTACATTGTGTAAGACTCATTTTATAATTAAAAGTAAGATATGTTTTATTTTTTATGCATTTAATGATTTTTTATTTGAGTGGCTATATTATTGCATGATTATGTATTATTGAATTTATATATTTTTCACGAACATTTGTACGTTGAAGTTAAACTTCCTTCAATCATAAGAAGTGTTTCTAATTAAACAACCACCACTGTATAACGTCTGATTTATATATGTCAATATAACATGTCCTTTGGTTTCCATAGTCTAAGATCTAAGTGAGTAGCACTATGTCAGCTGTCAAACACTCTGAAGTTTTTTTCCCTCCTTCCAATCCACAGATATTTATTATTAGGAAGCCTTGAATATTGTTTGTACATATATATCCTTTTATGTTACGGTTATTTCTATTACTTATTTGAAAATTAAGTAGCGCTTTTGGTAAGAAGTGTTTTAATTGGTTATTGTCCAGGCAAACCTTGGAGGTAGGCATTGCAGTGTAGATGTGTGTGAATAGTGCTCTGTGTGTAATGGTAATGAAAAAATATAACGGTTCATGTGTGTGGTAAATATGTAATAATCGGCTTGAAATCTAAGAACTAGAATGATAGTGTGTGTTAGTTCTTTTTATGAACATAGTTGGCTGTAGCAGAATATCGGCGGCGTTGTGAAACACTTCGCCATTGTGCTGAGCTACAGACCTTTTTATCTCACAACACTATTATTACTAAACAGTGTAGAACTTTTATATTTTTATATTATATATATAAAATAAATTTTAAAATTACTTGTAGATAATGAATTTACTAAAATTTCAATATTAGAAAGCCTGAGGGTTTGAAATTGACTCGTGGTCTTCGAGACAGAACATTTTGAGGATCTTTGGCTATAAAGTGTTTTCCAATGAAATAATAATAAAAATAAATAACGCACACACTCATAACCCCACACTAGGGAAACCCTTAATCGCGGGTACCATGGACACACCTACACCTAAAATGATGTTTATTTATACGTAAATATACGTACAATACATTTGCAAATCTATGTACATAAGTATTTATTTAATAGCAAAGATATTATAGAGACATATAGCTGTTCAAAAAGTATAAGAAACAAGGAGAGTACTTAAATACACTCTTTTTTGTACAGACAGTACGTCGAGTAAACAATTTTTGTACAGATAGCTCATGGAGTAAACAAACTAGTGGAAGTGTGAAGTGGGCGTTACCTTGTAATTGTGTTCCATTGAGAAAAATAGTACATCAAAGCTTTCATTGATGTTTATAGTATTTCTAGCTTACACAAACAATCTTTATTTTATAGGTAAATAATAACCTTAAATGTAAAGACTTATTTCACTATAGTTTTTTGAATATTAACCGAAATCTTGTTAGAAAAGCGTATACGTTGCCTCTTAAATGAATTTATGACTTTGTGACAACGACTCTGAGGAACAGACAGTTTATTTTTATTCCTCGTTGGTATTAAACAATTTTTCATACAAAAAGTACTATTCTTCTTGACATAAATTATTTTTTTATACATAAAAGTACGATAACGTTAGTGTGAGAATGTTACTTTTACAAGTGGCTATTATTGCATTAGCAGATAATTTAATGCATAATTTTTACGCAATGTATAACTCATTATCGAACAGCTGTTAAACTGCTGTTGTTATACTGCTATTCTGCTGTTGCGATTGTGTCGCGAGAACAAGCAAGTATACCAATAGGCAGTGAGAGAGACAGGGCTCTAATCAAATGATTGGACTATGCTACGATTTGCAACTCTTACGATTATTAATTTTTAGTGCACAACAAGATAAAGTTCTCTTTCTAATTTTAGATTTTATTGCTATCTATTATTTATTTTTATAAGCTTTAGTTTAGACAGCCGTGGCATGTTTTCATACATCTGTTCACACCGTGAACTAAGCAGACCGAGCTAAGGTCGCATAATTGGTTGCATGCAGCTACGTAAGCTAAGCTAGCTTAGCTTCCGTCGCGGTGTGGCCTACGCTTAAGTCACATATTACAAACTACGATTTTGTGCTTTATGCAATTGGAATAATGTCGGTTTTAATATTCGATGTCGACAGGTTTATTAACTACCTGTCGATACTATAAATTTAAATACAACTGGTGCCGAAAACATCCATTTTGTTGTGATTTATTGGTTAATGGTTATAGTCAGTAACAATAATAGCTTGATAACAGTAGCAGACTTTATTTCATTGCGTTAGTGCCATTCATTATCCGCGATTGAACTAAAAATAACAGATTACACAACAGGGTTGCTGTTGTGTTGCCAGGGCCCTTGAGCCGAAGACTAGATTTCGTTTTCTCAAAAGTTACATTTTTGTGTGCAATAGTTACATTTAACAAGTTCGTTTATAATTAAAAATTCTAACTACAAAAGATATATTCGTCTAAATCCTACAAATGTAAAAGCAAGTACGCTCGAGAGAAATTGTGCAGGACAAATATGCTTTAAATAAATTCCCGAAGGATTGAATATAGTGTCATGTAACGTTGAGTAACGAAACTTCAAAATCAAATAGTACATAGTAGCTGTTCATAGGGTAAGATGTAGCATGATCAGCATAAGTTTTTTATTTACGAAAAAGGTGTATTAAGTAACTAAGCTATTTTTATCCATAAAAATAGCTTAATTTCGTTTTAGAAAAATGTTGATAATGACAATAATGTGCCTAACAACCATATTAATTGCCTCATCTCAAATTAGGGAATTCCCTGTGTGCTGTGAGAACCAGAGCAACGGAATTCAGTCCAAGTCGCTACCCGGGGCACCCACACCAGAACCAATTTACAAAATTTTATTTCCCAAATTAGTCTTACGAGGAATTCAATCTACCTTCGCATCGAGCGCCCACAGTGCAAACTGTTGGCCACCGAAGTCATCAAATGTTATATGTTATCTTAGTATGTAATGCTAGATCGAGTTTACAAATGTGTGTTATGTTTGGCAACAACGGCTTTGGAACGGTTTTAATAATAATAATAAAGACTTTTATTTCAGAACTTATGAATTCCATATATTGTTAGTAAAAAAGAACTTAAAACACACTATGTTAGTACTTACAGTTTTGATTCCATTTCCACAAGTTTGTTAGATAGTTTTTAGTATTATAAATTAATAAAATAAATGTCGAAAAATCCTCTCTACTAACGCGAAATCGTTCTCAAAACATTGCGGAATTCTATCTATTATAATCTATTTGTTAAGTTTTATTGGAATCGGTTAACGGAAAGTGGGTGAAATCCATTAAACCGAAATCATCCCCTAATGTGCCGCCATCCTTAAAGGTGGAATATTTTATTCAAATTTAAATGGAACTATTACAGATTTACCCCCTTTCCAACAAAAAAATAATTGAATTCAGAACCTCCTCCTTTTTTTAAAGTCGGCTAAAAATAGCAAATTATCAATCCTGCTACCAAATAACGTACTAGTTATTCAAATGTTGGTGAAACCTCCACCGAGATCAGGCGCGTAACTGACCTACCCCAACTCGACAGACCTTTTAGTTCCCGCCTACACGCTACTAGTGTTCGGGGCTGCGTAAACAAAACTCGGCGTAATCATGCGATTTTTAAACACTGTAGCATACATATTATGGTTAATGTGTAGGTCACGTATTAATTGTGTTATTCTTAAAGGGTGTATTGGAAATTGTTATTTTTTGGATCTAAGTCGCGTATATTTCTTTTTTCAAACAAACTGTTATGGTAACGGCTGATTGATTTGTTTGAGAAAAAAAAATGCGCCTTTTTGTTCCGAAAAAAAAATGTTTCACTTCAAATGTGTGAGAATCACGAAAATGTAAAATCTTGATATTTAAAAGGCTGTATCATTGGAATAATTTAAACAATCCCTGATAATTTGAGATCAAAACGAACTAGAGGACCTGTAACTAGCAAAGGTGACTCTACATCTGAAAGTTTATTTACTTGACAAAAATATTAGAAACTTGTTGTTGCTATAATGCTGATACCGCATGCACTTTCGTAAATCGTAATGATGGTTATAACAGCCTAAATTTAGCGTTCACCCCGTAACGTCTACCGGAGGGTTTGTTTAGCCCGCGGGATCGTCGCGCCGCCGCCGCCTGGGCCACGACCGGGCGTCGACCCCGTTCGATCGATGCACTGCAGTATGGATCGGTCTGCCGTCTAGACACCCCCTTACACCCCCACGCCGCGTCCCAGCCGCCGAAGGGCGTGAGACCTAACCCACCAATTGTACATGCGAAATTTGTCAATTAATTATTGTTGCAAGGTGTATTCTCGATCAGCTTTATTTGATATTTGGCAAAATTTGCAAACCTCGTAACCCCCATTAATATGAACTGTTGAGTAGGCACACAAAATAGAATTACTAGAAACAATTATATAACAATCTATGATTATACCTTTAATTTATAACTAAATGAAGGTCTACAAATTATATTTTAATCTTTAATTGCCATGTTGCGCTTGAAGAGTAAAAAGGGATTTCCTCCAAAAACGGAGTTACGAGGTTTTCAAATTTAGCCGACAAATATGGGAGATGTGTAGGAAATACTACCTGATTTTGAATTCTGCAAAGCAGGTACGTATGACGTGTACTATACACAGATTAGGTTCGTCTCCACGTTCTTGATGCTTAATTGATTGTTTTTTTTTTGTAAGGTTACCTGCTAACGAAAGTGGAGGGCAAAGTGGGTTCTCCGGAGACGCCTTTGTCGGATCTTGGGCTGATCTCATACCGTTCGTATTGGAAAGAGGCTTTGTTGAAACGGCTGTGCTCAGCGCCCGGGCCCGCACTTTGCATCCGCGACTTAAGCAAGGACCTCGCCATCGCCTCATCGGATATCGTATCCACACTGCAGGAACGGGGGCTCATGAAGTACTGGAAGGGCAAGCACATTGTGCTCAAGAAGCAGGTAAGTTGGGATTACGAAATGAATAGGTTTACACTATCAAGAGGAAACATCTATATTACATACAGTTTAGTAGTAGTAGAGCTTTTTGTGAAAGAGTTCGTCCAGGGAAGTACTGCCACCTTACCTATTTCTGCCGCCTGGCAGTAATATCAGCATTACTGTGTTCCGGTTTTGAAGGGTAAGGGTGCTGGTGAAATTACAGGTACCTTGTCCCGGGGTGTCGCGTGCAGTGGCAGTGCCCCTCAGTTCTTTGCGATTTAAAGCTCTGAGTGGCTTGAGTGCACTGCAATTGTTAGGGTCAGGCAAGTCGCTTACTAGCAGACACACGACTTGTTCGTCGCGTCACTTATTATTATATAATTTATGTTTTAACAATTGAACACCTTGAGAATTAAAATACTCTTCCCCGTAAACGAGAAGAAAAGTCATTAAAGATTTTTTTATGATATGATGTAACGGGACGAACAAGTCGTGCATCTGGTTATAAGCGACATGTCTATCCATAACAGTTGCAGTGCCACTGAAAGCTTTAAATAGCATATATTTGAGGAGCACTGAGACATAAAGTTGACAAGTCGCATGTGCCTGTAGTTCCATCAGCACCCTTTCTGTTCATAACCGGAACGCAGTGATGCTCTTATTGTATTATTTCATGTATTGCTTGGCGGCAATACGTCTCTGGACGAACTCTTTCACATAGAGCTCTCTACTGTTACTATAACATATTAATTCCAGTATTTTATTTTTCATCACACGTACTTGGCAGTAGTGGTACAGTGTATAACAAAACTAGACAATATTCTTATTATAAGGCCGTAATGTTTAATTTCTTAATTTCCGCGCTCTCGCCAAGCGCCCGCTAGGAGCGCGGACAAACAGCTGGTTCGGCTACCGCTGCCGCCTCGCGCCAAAATCGCGACGCGGACGCAAATAACTTTTTGGTTTTATTTACTAATAATTATTAATAGAAAGATCGAACACTAAGAAAAAATCCTTCGCCGGATGGCTGGATTCGAACCAATGTCTTCCAGCAAACCGTGCTAAACGCTTTGCCAACTAATCCACGGAACGACTATGTAAGCTTTTCTTCACTCAGCCAGGTACCTTTACGGCTACCAGCAGTTGACTAGAGGTGTCGCTTTTAATAATTGTAATATAAAGTTGATTGAATGTCACGATGTTTGACCACTATGATATTCAATTGTTTGTGTGAAATTACTCCATTCGTTTGTAATAATTATGAATACAAATATTCATTTCTTTTTATTTATTAAAATACGGTCAACTTTATTTTATATAAGATACACACTCCTAGATGCTGTGGCAAACATATATTTAATTCTTACGTAAAAACAGGGCGAAAAGTTATAAATAATGCACGAAAAATATTATTCTGTGTATACTATTTACGTTAGTACATTATTATGGACGCTGGGAAGTAATGGATTGCTGGACGTGTATAAGTTACATTTGGTCACACTTAGGCCTTAGTAATTTTAGGGTAAATTACTAGGAACTAACTGGGAACTAAGATAAAGAATGAAGTTAAAGTCTAATTTCCTTTAAAGAATGGAGGTTCTTAATTCGACTGTATTTTTTTGTATGTATGTTACGCGATAACTCCGGTATTTGTGAACCGATTTTGATGGTTCTTGTTGAAAAGAGATAACCTCAATAGTGGTCTCATTTAAATTTGAAGAAAATATTATAATATGAAAACCCATTACCGCACTAGGATCGTATGATTAAAAATACCTCCTAGTTTTACTGTAAATTGTACTACTACTTATGTGCCACTGCGATGAAATGTATTAATTCTCAAGTATACTTGTAAAAGCATGCATTACTTTTAAAAACAGTACCCACAAAGTTTATCATTTACGTAACGCACAACTCTTTCCCGGTCAAGTATCGGAATCCATTACTGTCCCTTGCTCTAAACTTTTAATTATATCTACTAACAAAGAGTGAACAGACTAAAGAAAAACAGGCTGTGCTCGGCCTTACAAAGTCGATGACATTTTTTTTATAATATCAAGTAACGGGACGAATAAGTCATGCGCCTGATTGTAAGCTACACGCCTATCCATAACAGTTGCAGTGCCATTTAGAACTTTAAACCGCAAGGATCTGAGGGGCATTGCCACTGCGCCCGTCACCTTGAGATAAATTACCAGCACCCTTCAAAACCGGAACACATTAATGCTGACGTACTACTTAGCGGCAGAAATAGGTAATGTGGCAGTACTACACTGGACGAACTCTTTCACAAGGAGCTCCACCGCTACTCATACTGGTCTGGTAATCCTTTACTCCCAGGCCTTTGCAATAATGTAATAATAATAATATTAATAACGCACACACTCTACATAGCTCCGCACTAGGGAAACCCTGTATCGCGGGTGCCATGGACACACACATAGACAACCACAAAATTTAATTATACCCAAACTCACGAGAGAAATAATTGTAGGCCATTCAAATATTTCTCCCGGCTCGGGAATCGAACCTGGAACCTCTGCGTGGCAGTCCGGTATGGTAACCGTTTGGCCACGGAGGCAGTTATAATGTCGCACTGCTATTACAATAGTATCGTAACTCAAAATATGTGAAGTTTAATATTATATCATTACACGTCAAAATAGCCGTCGTTAGAATACTATAAGAAACAATCAAAAGATATGTACTTAACTCAAAATGAGACACACTTTATGTGAGCTAGTTCTGTCCAAATAATCCTTATTAAAAAATATGAAATTATTGTTTCCATTTTATTTTTAATTATATTCGGGACATTGTTTAAGTGTGTATAATAAACTGTAACATATACGTAGATTTTAATGATTTTTTTGCGGGAAGTCTGAAAAAGTCCACTTTTTGAGTGAATACACTTATTGTATTAACAGTGCGATGTGCTAATAATTCGTCCTATGCTTTGGAGATAATGAGTAAGTTCGTCGCGGCAGGACGTGCTCGAGGACGTGTCGCGGCGGGCGGAGCGCGCGCGCTGCGTGGACGCGCAGTGCCTGCGCTGGGCGCCGCCCGCGCCGC